CAACAGCAACAGCAGCAACAGCAACCACAACCACCACCACCACCACCACCGCCGCCGCCACCACCACCACCACCACAACAGCAACAGCCACAGCCACAGCCACAGCCACAGCCACAGCCACAGCCACAGCCACAGCCACAGCCACAGCCACAGCCACAGCCACAGGTGCCCCATATGTTGTTAATTACCACTACTGTTCCTGAGGGTTCCTTGATTATGCATTTTAACTTACCTCAAGCCCGGCTATAGCAACCCAATATTCACCCAACGACCCCGAACCCTGAAACTTTAACTTCCTCAGCCGAGCCTGGCTTGGTGTGAGAGCTCCCGCTAGCGCGAGCTGCCTTACTTTGCGGCACTGGGGGTGCCTAGTGTGTAACGAACCTCGGGACTTACGATTCGAGCCTCACCCTAGACCTTAAACCGAGCAGTAGGCGACTGAAGCCCTGACTCTGGGAGGTTGGCCTGGGAGCCCAACAAGCTTGAACGCAGGGTTTCGGAGGGCTACAAAACTTCAAAGAACTTCTGAAAGATTTTCGGGCCGCCGAAGCATTGTGGCTAGGATAAGAGCAGTATAGAGCCTTTGGATTCTTAGCGTATGAGGAACTGCAAGTGGTGATGGGCAGCTCGAACACCGTTAGGAACATGGGCAAAATCCGGAATGCCCATCCCTACAACCCCAACCGCGATGGGAGCAGCACCAGGGTGGTGTGATCAAGGAAAGGCGCCACACAATTTTGCAAGATGAACTGACAGATGTTCGAGCATCACGGCTGTTTGCTTGCTGTTACAGCTGTTGAGAACAGCAAAAAGAGTCAATAGAGTTGCATTCTGTGTCCCCCCGGCTCCTACGGTTGCAAGCTAAGTGCTGGCTGTCCAAGTGGCAAAACTGGAATATTTGGTCAGCGCTTGAGAGCCAAGAGCCAAGTTACCCAGCTCTGTTTCCCACACATCTGCTAACTACATTACAGCGATTTACGCTACACTATGTTGCATCGTTCGACTTGAACAGCAAGTCCTTGTGTTGCAGTGTGTTGAGTTGTTCTACCGTTTTGCTGTGTGTTTCATTGTCCTGCACTTGCATTGCATTGTAGCACATCATACTACATCACACACATTTAATGTTTGCATTGCGTTTTGTGGGCATTGACGTGGGGCTGCATTTCTTGGATGCCCAGGTACTGACCGAAAAGCCCGAATGTAAAGTCTTATTGCAAAGCCTTTTAGGCATCCTTTCAAAGTTAAGTCGATGCTCACAGATATACATATATAGTATATAGAACCGGGTGGCTGGGAAGCTAGGTAGGTACGTGTGCGTGTGCGTGTGCGTGCGTGTGCGTGTGTGTGTGTGTGTGTGCGTGTGTGTTAGTATGGCCCATTCAAGAGGCCTCTTGTCGACAACACTTCTTATACCTGCTAGCAATTCCGAAAACCCTCACGTAAAGCCAGCCACGACAGACCCAAAGCCCCGGCTCAGCCTAAATCCAAGAAGAAAACTTTTTCACACTGAAGCCACGAGGCTTCTTGGACGCGTCTCTGAGTCTGAACCTCTCTGGATAGGTGCCAGCGTCTCCCTGCTAGGTTCACAAGACCCCTGATTCCAATATCTCTCGCATATGTACTCAGTTCTCTGATTCTAGTATACAACCCTTTATCAGCATATCATACAACTGTATTCAGTAATTTAATACTCGCAGCAATTATTCTATACCGTACGAAGGGCTGCATATCAGATCAGACCATATTCAGACCTTCAATGTTTCGGTTCCCCAAACCCCAAACATTTCTGGTTCGAGTCTCTTGCAGTGCTCTCTGCATCTTGTGATCCCGGCAGGGCGCTTGAGTGACTGAAAGGATTGGGGACGATCGGCGTACCAGGGTTTAGGGTGCTTGGGGCTCGAGATTTAGGGTTTGCGCTCTCACCAAGATTTATAGGGTTTAGGGTTTGGGCATACATACATGGGATTTCATGTTCAACACTTTAACTGATCCGTCTACAACTCAAAGGATTGCAGGGGTTCTGGATTCACAAGCTGTTCGGGGTAACAACATCAATACCGCAGCCATTTAGCAAGCGAGTCTCTGCAAGGTGCGGTGTCAGGACAGCAGTGCTACTCCGGTCAGGGGTACCTTGCCTTGTAGAGTGCATTTTGTCAGATCCGGTCACGCGGCCGAAGAGCTCAGGTACTACTTTTCTTGCCAGTCATCCTTGGCCGCAAGCCAAGCTTGAAGGCTGCTCAGCCGCACATACACAACATGCACCACCTCTGTTTACGTTAACATCTGGAGACCCCGGAATGAACTGAAGCTCAACTCGGCATCATGGCTAGCGCGCTCTGAAACGAAGGGCCTGTTCGGACACAGCCACAAAGGTGTCACGACACTGTGTCGGGTAGCGGGGCAGGGGGGCAGTGAGGGCTCGCCACTACCTAAAACTTGGAAGCCTCGGGCCCCAGAAGTCGACGACAGGCTTACTCTGTGTGAGAATGCACGGGCTCTGGCGTTGTTGCCCAGCTGAGGCTCGGCACAACAGCCGTGCCTCTTCAATTGATTCCCCGGGGCAGAACCACAGGGCAACTGCAGACAGGGCTCGGTGTTCAATCCTTGGGGGCATCTCACACACCCAGTTCTAAAGACTCTCAGACGGCCCGGGCTTCCTAGCTGACGCCCGCCCCTTCTTACCGCATCCTGAACCCGACCCGAGGCCTTTCAGTTCTGAAGCCCAGAACGAAAGAAGCTACCAAAACTGCATCGCAGGACTTTGATTTGCGGATCCTGTGATGATTTGTGGACACGTGCAGAGCTGAGCCCCCCGCGATTGTAGAAGTAGTCTTGCACCTTGCGGAAAAGCAGTAGCAGTAGGAGTAGACGTCGTCTTGCTGTCGTCGTCATACTATTACTGTAGTACTTGTAGCGGTACTAACACAAGTACCACTACTACTTCGTACTGGCAGCACTAGTAGTGGCTGAAGGAGGAGTAGGGGCAGGGTTAGCAGCCGTAGCCGCAGCAGGAGCAGGGGCAGGTGCAGGCACAGGAGCAGAAGCAAGAGCAAAGCGAAGCACGTTATCACAATCACCCTTAAGAGGTCTGAAGCGACTTGCAAGCGTGCGAATGCCAGGTCGACGACGACCGATCACATCGGTCTGGTAACCAGGTATGCAGTACGGGCTGGATGAGGAAGCTGCTCCCACTGCTTCTGATAGACAGGACAGGATTAGAAGAAATTGTCGCATCCAACTTCTCACTCGAGCCATGATTTCCTCAGATTCTGCAGACCCAACTAGGCCCCTGTCCAAACTGCCGAACCGCCTTCCGTCACCAAAACGGCTGAACAGATCTTGGTAATATGAACCAGCCAAGACCAGCAACACTCCGTAGCCTACAAGCATCAGTAAACACGCTGCTTCTCATGCCCTGGCGCATCTCGCAGCTTCTCCTCAGACAGTGGCACCACTGTGGCGCACGTCGCTGCGAAGTTGTCGTTCAAGTCTCCACAATCCTCTTGGGGCCATCGTTCAAGCACTTTCCAACTGCATGCCAGGCATCTTTTATGGCTTTGGTATGGCTAGTCACATCACCCTATACGGTTTAGGGTTTAGTTTTTTTTTTTTTTTTTAAGGGCTCTTTTCGTAGGGTTTAGGGTTTAGGGAGTAGGGTTTAGGGTTTTAGGGTTTCCCTACACCCAGCGCTCACGGAGAGCCGGGAGCTCAGATCTTCCAGCGTAGTTAAGGAGTTTATGCTTTACACCGACTAGGGACCCAAACCCTAAACCCTAAACCCTAAACCCCTAAATCCTAAACCCCTAAACCCTAAACCCTGAACCCTAAACCCTAAACCCTAAATCTACTCTAATTTCGGGTCTGTTCCTTAGTTAAAGGATTTCGATGGAACCCTACCCTACACCCCAATCGCATCACTATAGGGTGCCTCAGATCAGGCGACCTCCACGCCGCAAGCCTTGAACTGGCGGCAATACTCCTAATCTCTCTCTGATGTTGTCTCTCTATGTGTGTGTATATCTATATATATATATATATAGATGTATGTACACATGTACACCTGTTTGTGCATATATATATGTACACATCTATAAGAACACATACATACATACATATATACATACATACATACATACATACATACATACATACATACATACATACAAACATGCATATATATATATATATATACATATACATGTACCGGAAGTATTGTGGTACTTCGCAAATGCGCATAAAGATGAACACAGCAGCGGACAGGCGGCTGCAGGCCTTTTGCATAAGGATCGCCCGGCACTGTGATGGCTGCACTACCCAGAGTGTCAGTTTCAACAGTCCCGTCAGTCTCTTCAGGGGCCTTTTCCTGCGTCTATACATTCAAACGGCTGAAGGCGACGCTGTATCAAGGCAACACGTGCTTGCACTGTGCGTATCCCTAGTCAGAGGTGCAGTCATGTAATCATGACAGCAGGTTCCCCTGCTAATCAGTTCCCAAACCTGGTCCATGGAATTTGCCTCCATTCATCAGGCTGCAAATGCTGATCAAGAAGCTGTACATAGGGAGAGCGGGAGAATCATCAGGCTGCAAGCTCTGATCAAGAAGCTGTACATGGGGAGAGCCAAAATTGTCGAAAAATTGTCTTGAAAGGTTTACTCATGCGGAGTTCTTGAAATTTTTGCAAGCCGTCAAGAAGTCCTCGTAAACAATCTTGCATCCGGGATAGTCCCCCATCATACGCTCGGGGTGGAACTGCAAACCAATCACAAAGCGGCCTTTTGATGGATTGTAGCGAGAGTCATAGAAGCCTTCGAGGACTCCATCGGGGGCATAGGCCATGGGCTTCAAGCCTTTCCCAAGTGTTTGCACTGCCTGGTGGTGATAAGAGTTCACACGAAGCTCGTCGGTGTCAACAAGAGACTTCTCAAACCAAGATGCAAGAGGAGTGTCTGGCAACACTCTGATTGGATGTCGGTGACTATCATAGGAGGGGTCACTCGCATCCTTGAGATGCACGAGCGCATCTGGAACCTCCGTCTCAATGTCACCAATCAGCGTTCCACCTCTGAGCACATTGAGCATTTGAGATCCACGACAGAGGGAAAGGATTGGACAACCTGCGTCAAGGGCCAAGCGCATCAGCGCGAACTCGAGCTCGTCTTTCGAAACATCGAACTCGGCATCACTGGCCCATTTCATGGCATCCTCTCCATCCAGTCGGCGTGGAACGCAGCACCCGTACTTGCTGAGGATCTCATCTGAGATGTCGTTCCCCTCGACAACAAGCAAGCCATCCATAGGCAAGTACTCAGCCAGTGCAGGTGCTGTCAAGGCAGTTCGGGGGAGTATGATGGCCGCGCCCCCGTTTTCCTGAATTAGATCCAGGTGGTACTCGCCGAGGAAGTCGACATATTTCCCCTTGCGAAGGTGGCGTCGGGTCACACAGAGCACGCGAGGCGGTGCGGTCCATGTCACGGGAATATCTCGTGTCAGCTTGTAGCGCTGGAGCTGAGAACGCCGTGCATAGCGCTCGTTCTTGCTCGCGAGTTTGTGCAGATGCGTGATAGGGGATGAACCGTCATCAGTCGCATCACTGTCGTCTCCTCCACGACCTACCGGGCACACAGGCGAGCATATTTTACGGTGCTGGCTGTCTTCGTCGGTGTCGATATCCCTCTCATTCAGCCCCATGATGTCGATGTCGCAGGAGTCAGAAAACATCTGAGCATCCCCTTGTCTGTTGTAAGCCATTCTAGTCCGAATCTAATTGCCTGAGGCGGGAGGCGACGCACTATCACACAGCAGCACTGCCCTGAGCCATGAGGTTGTTGGGAGCCCCGGCTTTCCCTTTGGAGTAAGTTCATGCACCTATATATATATATATATATATATATATATAGCCTTAGAAGGTGTTTATGGCCAGAGCCTACAAGTTACATGCCGCAATAGAATCAAGAAGAACCCCCCAACCTCCAAGGAAGCAGGAATCCAATGCGGTGAGGCCCGAAGGGAAATGCTTCCGGCCTGCGGAAAACTAGAGTTTCAACTTTTAGGTATGCATGTGGAGTTTTCGCGCTGAGATTGTGAAGGAAGGTTTAACACAAAAACCCACAAGCCACAACAGTCTTGTAAACAACCTGTCTTCGTGGGACCAATTAGGTCCCGTGGTGCGAAGGTGACCAAACCCATCACGTCTTGACATGAGGAGACTGCAAGATGCAATGCTTACTCAAGCACCACCCCAACCTCCTCCAATCAAAGACCCAAGGAGTACACCACGCTTTGCAAAAGTTTACTGCTTTCAAGCGGCGGCTGCAAAGCCCGGCATCAAGCCAGCACCATAGCGGATGTTGTACCTGATGCGACGACTTATGTGTAAGCTTTCCGGTGTCTAAGTGCCCAGCAACGAACACCAAAGTAACTGAAGACGTGAAAACCGTAAGCCTCTAAACCCTGAAACCTCGCACCACCTGCTAGCTGCAGCGAGGTGCTGGATGCGGTATTCATCGACGCCCCCTCTCTTGCTGAAGTACCTTTCTGGCGAATTGTGATTGCAATGTCGGGTCTCCTTCTTGGGCTCTGCTCCATGCAAGATCCTGCAACCTGAGGCTTGAAAACGTGGCTCCTTGTGCTGCGAATCTTCCACACAGCCTCGTGGACTACTCTCTGGCCTCCGGCTCAGCAGCAGGAAGCCCTAAGCCCTGAGCCCCAGGCTCTTTGAGCTGGAAAGGGAACGAGAGAGACAGAGAGAGAGAGAGAGAGTGAGAGAAAAAAAGCACACACAGAGGCAGAAAGACACAGAGCATTATCCTCCATGTAGTATTTGGAAGAAGGGATTACCAAGCGTCTTGGACGAGAGGTTGCCTTTTCAGAACTCCTGAGACCATGCGCCATAGCCGAATATTCACAACCCAGAGCTCCCGAAGCAAAGCCGAGTGGCTCTTTTGTCAGCAGCTGGTCCCTTAGCACAGAGCTTCCTCTATAGGTGGGGTTCATAACCCCAAACCTTGATTGTTCCTGACAAGGCCAACTTCACTCGACGCAATGATCACACGTCCTGAGAGAGAGATGCGTAAGAACCGCTGGTGCGAGTAGAAATCAAGCTGGCGTGATCTGGTTTGAGCGCTCATGGCTAATTGGTCCTTCAGTGGCAGGTTCCACGCCCAACCCTAAATGCCAGACCCAAAGAAACTCTGTCACTCACTGTCCATCTGACAGCAGGAAAGCCCCACGCATTCGGCGAAAAGCGCATCGATCGGGCTTGCGGGCTGTCCGGTCATAACGTCAATACTAAAAGAAAATGACTCAAGGAACGAGAAGGGCTGGGGAGGCACTTGACACAACAAACATAAGAGTGAATGAAGTGTATGTATGCATGTCTCTCTCTCGCTCTCTCTGTGTGCATATATATATATATACACATGTATATACACATGTACATAGGTGTACATATGCGCATCTGTACCGGGAAAGTGCATAAACAACCATCCATCCATTCAGCCATCCATCCATCCGTCCATCCATACATCCATCCATCCATCCATCCATCCATCCATCCATCCATCCAAGCATGCACGCATGCATGCGTGTATGCATGCGAACATGGTACATACAGGTGTACAGTTGTATGTGTATACATATACATATACATACATACATACATATATGCTTCTCTCTCCCTCTCTCTCTCTCTCTCTTTATATATATATATATATAAATGTGTATGCATATGTATGTGTACATGTGTATATGTATATACACATGCCAACATACGGGTAAACTACGTATGTAGTATACAACGTAGTATGTATATATATATATATATCGACATATACAGACATGCTTCCATGCCACTGGCATGGCCCTCAACATGAGTTGTGGTGTGCCCCTGTTACAAACTGTCCGCGCATGACCGTTAGATGTCGTACTTATCTTGTGTACAATTCTGCCCAATGCACTCCAACGCAGCCAAACGACGTAACACGATGCTACACGAAATCATCTATCTAACGTGTAACCCTTACAGTCATGTGCACCTTGCAACATGTCGAGTGCCACCACAAGATGCGAATGTTTACAGTCAAGAGCATCGTGCTAGTTGTTCAAGCTTCTGTGCCAATATTTAACCAATGTTTCTTGTCTATCTCGCTTCGCATTTGCCAATGCTGGGCAAATACTGGGTTCGCCATATTTCTTGACGTCTCGTTACTCGAGAAAGCTTGAAGGCCCAGAGCATCCAAGAACCAAAACGAGACTGCCCCCCTCATTCCGCAGCCATGGTTCTGAATCCTTGGGCTCACCAGGCGGGAGGTCGGGTGGCAGCCGCTACAGTTTGCTTGGAACGTCCGCTGGCCTCGGCAGCCCCGGCAAGAGTCTTTATTCCAGGGGGGGTATAGGATTTTGGGTTCAGGGTTGACGGTTTAGGGTGCTATGTAGGTTAATAAGAGAAACCAGGAGATCGGGGAAAAGGACTTGCCTAGCTTCGGTTCGCATGTGCGGGTTGGGGTGCTCTCCAACGCAAGCGTGCAGGGACCAATCTCCTGCACCGGAACGTGTTGGCTCATACAGTGGCCTCGATATTTACAGCAGGGATCTGCAGGGTCTTGGGTATATCAGAATATAACTAGAAAAGGGAATCCTGCGGAGCAGTATTGGTAACTCTTCAGGCCTTTCTGTTGCACAAAGTTCGGACACCAGTCCTGGAGCAGTGAGGTGTGGCTAGTTGAAAAAGGTTTATCACCTTCTTTTTATTACTGGAATTTGGCTACCCGCAAATCAACGTTGAAGATCAGTCTGCATAAGGTGACGAATGTCCTCTGGTTGATCCTGTTGCAGTTGCTACTGGACGCATGCCTTTGTCTCGCTGCGGTTCTTTATGATTCGCCACATGGCTAGGCCCGAATGGTGTTGGCGATGATACTTAGACGGGAGGTGGTGGTGACGGAACAGAATACCACGGCTGAACCCACGAGACATAGAACAACTATCTACACCGGCCAGACAGTATTAATGCTAGACAGTCGACACAGAGTTGTAGTATGTTGTAGTAGTGATACTCGCAGCAGCAGCAGCAGCAGCAGCAGCAGCAGCAGCAGCAGCAGCAGCAGCAGCAGCAGCAGCAGCAGCAGCAGCAACAGGCAGCAGCAAGAACAAACTGCAACTACCGATGACAAGCACCCAGAGCCCTCTAAAAGGCTCAGGCAGTTCTAAACAGCTAGGTCTGAAATTGGGTGAGCAGCTAGGCACACCCAGGACATTACCACCACAACGCCTTTGCGTAACTGCGTGGAACGGCTTCGTAAGTTCGGAAGATAGCCTGCATTAGCCACCAGTTATCATGACTGTCTGTAGCCGTACCGGCTCGAACAACTTCAAGCCCCTCTCAGCAAGCTGTTCTCTGTGTTTGATGTAGGGTAGAGGCAACAATCAATGCATCAATGCAAAGCGAGCTGCTGTCTCACAGACTCGAAGGACCAAAGATGCTGTATCGTTTGGCAATGGCTTGGGCTAGTGGTGTTTGTACAAGTGCTTATAAGCATGTCCTTCGCACCTGCTGCCAACATGTTTAGGTGGTCTGATTGTCGCCCAGTGGATGCAACATGTGCACCGAAAGGTTGCGTCATTATCTCGTCAGTTTTACTTGCTGCGTGGCTGACGGCAGCATGTCCGATCGGCTGCCTGGTTCGTGCGCGCACTCCACGAATTCCACAGTTGGTCGGACCACTTTCATCGCCATTACGTGGGGTGAGTGGCAGATGGCGTTCCCAGTGCAGAGTTCGAGCCTCCATCAAGGGTCGTTCTCGTGGCGCATGGTCCAAGGTTCTGACGTCCCAGATCTCCCTTTCGAAGTCACCGGAAGCCTTGATCGTCACCATAAGGGATTCTGTACGGGACACTAGCTTTAATGCAGTCCATGCATCAGCTGCATTGACACGTCTTGCCAGGTTTAAGAGGCAAGGTCGGCTAAAGAGGGAGAATATCAACAGCTCTGCATGGCCGCTGCTGAAATCGCGACTGAAGGCCATAATAAGAAAGGGCCTACCTGCTCGCAATGTGGCATCAGTATACTGGGGCCTGGCCGTTCTGTCAGATGAGCCTGGTTTGCAGTTCTTTCTCAGGCTTCTTCCCGGGCTTATGGAAGTTACAAGGAGCCAGCTGGACGACATGATCCCCCAAGGGCTTTCAAACTGCCTGTGGGCATCGGCCAAGCTTCAGTCTGTGGCACCAGAAGTGTTGAACATACTTCCTGCCTTGGCACGACATCTTCCGGGAAAGCTCGCAGGTATGAAGCCCCAAGAGCTAGCGATTTGCCTGTGGGCAACTGCCACGGTCCGGGATAACTCGACGCAGCTTTCGAGGCTTGACTGCGCTAGGGATGGAGCTGCTAGTGGGTAAGTAATTCGGGGAATATGTTAATGTATGTTGGCTTTGTAATTGTGGATCGGTCGAACTTCATCCCAAGTCAGCTCAGGCAAGCCGTGCCGGCCATGGCCGCAGCCGTCAAAGACCAAGCTGTCTCCTTCGATGCCCAAGCTTTGTCCAACTCTTTCTGGGCTTCAGCAAAGTTGAAGGACCGAGTGCCGGAGGTCCTTGTTGCTGTGCCACCACTGGCTAAGCACATCGCCAGACAAGTGCGTTGGCTACAGTCGGCAGGTGTTTGCTCCTAGTTAATAAGCTGTATAGTAGCTGTTGTTTGATGATGGCTCTGTCCCAGCTATTTGTAGTGGCTCAGGTTGCAAACATGACACCGCAGCAACTGTCGAACTGCCTTTGGTCTGCTGCGGTTGTGAAGGATTCCGCGCCTCACGGTCTGTCCACCGTGCGACCTTTGGCCATGCACATTGAGCTCCAGGTCGGCAGGATGTTGCCGCAGCACCTGTGTAACTGTCTTTGGGCTATAGCAAAACTGGAACGAGCGTGTCCGGAGATTTTATCGGCCGTACCCGGCATCGTGCGACTCTTGCCAGGCAAGCTGGCACTCTTGGACCATCAGTTGCTTTCCAGCGTTTGTTGGGCAGTTGCGGTCTTGCAAGAACCTGCTCCCGACGTACTCGACATCGTACCAGCCCTTATGGACAGAATCCTCAAATCCGAGCTGCAAGACTTTGATGTGCAGGCCCTGTCCAACTGCCTGTGGGCTGCCGCATGCCTCCAGGACTCGGCCCCATCCATGCTGACCGCGGTGCCTGTTCTTGCAAGCTCTGCAGCAGACCGCGTGGAGCGCATGCTGCCACAGGATTTGTCAAACTGCCTTTGGGCCGCAGCGACCTTGAGAGATTCGTCGCCGGAAGTTCTCGAAGCAGTGCCGGCTTTGGCCACACACATACCCTGCAAGGTGGACAAAATGGTTTCGCAGCATTTATCCAACTGCTTGTGGGCAGCAGCAACCCTTAAAGACAGGTCTCCTGAAGTGCTGCGAGCAGTTCCTGCCCTGGCCAAGCGGATTCGTTACAATGTGCAGGACTTCAATTCGCAGGCCTTGTGCAACTGCCTTTGGGCATCTTCGCATCTCCAAGGATCGGTTCCACAAGTTCTCGACGCGCTTCCAGCCATCACCGACACCATCGCGCAGAATGTAGAGCTTGTTGTCTCACGGCGCTGGTGATGCTCTAGTTTCCGGCCTGAGCCAACATCTCATCCCTTTTGACCTTTGAAGAACCCTGGGAGACGGACTATTCATCAGCCGTTATTTGCATGGGGTTAGTGGACGGCAAAGACGAGCCGCAGTGTGGATTGACGATATGTTCCACGACGTTTCAGGAGGCAGAATATCCCCGACTCTTGCCAAGCTTCCTCCAAATTTCTGAGATGGCCACCATCATGCTTGCACAGGTGTTTCTCATTGCGGTTCCTGGCTCACACCAAGGATGTTCCGAGCAATGCCGATTGGCTAGGATGCTATCCACAGAAGAGTTCTCCACAACACAGACCTCAACTTGTGCATCAATGAGGGCTTAACCGGGAAGTCTCGAACTTCGGTGTGATGGAGCTCGTCACACTGGACCAGCATTGAGCATGCTCTGAGCATGAGCTGGAAGCTTGGGATTGGTTCGCAGATCTTCGCAGCGAGGCTGACCACTCTTCAACTAGGAAAGAGTGCCTGGAGGCCAAAACAGAAGTTTCTACTGTCCGAGCACACAGCAGACACCATACAGGGGCTTACTAAACCCTCGAACCTGAAACCCGAAAGAGCCAGGTCGAGGTAATCATTTATTTGCGATAGCTTTATGCTAAGGCTTGTTTGATTGATCGTTAATGCTAGTTCTAATTTGCACTCGGTCTCCATACTTGAGCATGTGAAAAATTGGGGGAAAGCAACATGGTGCTGCAGGATCACACGCAAGAAGTCGCATAGGGCATAGTGACATTGTGCAGTATGATAGTGCAAGACAGACTGTGTCTAAACCGGTCATCGGCCAAAACATGATGCATTGGGCAATGGCTGACGGTTCGTGTTGGTGCTACTGGTTGATGCTGGAGAACGCATCCAGAAGATTATGTGTTCCTTGAGCTTGCACATGCTTGCACTTTCGAACCTCTTGTCAATGCTAGATCTGTGTGTTTAGTCTGTTTGTTCGACAGGAATGTCATAAAGGCTCCGTTACCAGTGTGATGTCGCCTTACGTAATATGTATGAAGTTGCATATGTCTTGATCCGGAGCGTGTATGATAATTTATATTGCCCTGAATAACAAGTTTCCAATTTCCATGTGTGTAACAAAGGTCCCTATTCTTTCCCACCGCTGTCTTGAATTGTTTGTTCATATAACTGATTATGCATGACGTCTGACTCGTGTGAGTGTGTGTGTGTGCGCGTGCGAGCATGCTCGCCATCAACATCGAGGCCCCGGCAATACATGTGGCGACACCGGCGCGAAACGCTAGAGCCTTGCAGGCGTGCGCCGCCTCATCGAATCCAAGATCATGTCACCGGCAGGCCGGCACCGGCCCAGTTTTTGTCAGACCACCGAGGCTTGCAGTGGAGCACATGCGAAGCCTTGAGAGCTGCCATGTTCTGTGATGGTTGAGTGGGCAAGGACGAACCGCAGCTCGTTTTATCTGGCAAATCTACCAAATTGGTAGGTTCGTCCGGTTTGTTTACGTAGCAACCACTCTTAACGTAGCAATCGAGCCTCGCGCTGAAACAGCCCGAGCTCATCCGAAGTTAAAGCGATGTCGGCCGCGATGCTTCAGCCGCGGCCACGGAGCTTGCGCTTCGTGATTTTCCTGACTGCTTGGAGTGGGTGTCTGACGACCACTCTGGCATTCAAGACTGCCGAC